AGAAATCCATCTAAGAGGCTCCTACAGACAAAGCCCGTGTGACACCAGCCATGTCCAACTGGGTAGAGAATTCATGACACTCACTCACCACAGTTCCATCCCCAGTGCAGTGCAGAGCAATTGGGAGAAATCACCCAGCTCTTGGCTTCTCCCTAGGGAGAGAAGGTACAAAAATACATAGAAATTCCAATTATACGTTAAGCTTTAAAACATCTCCAGCTTAATGTGTAATTGGCATTTCCATATGTTTTCGTACCCTTTCCCCCTAGGGAGAAGCATATATATATATATATGCATAACCTATGGACAGAGAATAGGGTGCTGAAGGCATGGGGCAGAAGAGGTGGGGCGGGCTGGAGGGGATCAATGGGTGCAAATGGGGGACATATGTAATACTTTCAACAATAAAGAATTATTGTTAAAAAATAAAAACATCTCATACCCTAAAAATAATTTGTATATTGGAATATAAATACAGTACTATGTTTTCTTGATATATAGGGTGTTCCCCAAAAATGTATACACACTTTCCCAGCTAATAGCTGTAGATTCTATTACATTTTGAAAATGAAATGTATTTTAATAAACACTGCCTTTATAGTATATATACATTTTATACATTTTATATTTATAGTATGTATACCCTGTACATTTCCTTAGTGTAGCAATGAAAGCTGCTGGAATGGGGACACGATGGATCTTCTATTCCTTTATAAATAACCTAAATCAAATACTTTCCAAGTATTTTGAAGAGATAATGTTTAATTTCAAAATCCTCATTAACTAGAGTGTTTTGTGTTTTTTTAACTGGAAGAATCCCATTAAAGCACAATCTCTTTCAGTACTGGACAAAGGCATTGAAGTCCATTCGGCTCTTATATTAACTAACAGAATTCTATTCTTATCTTCAAGGTTCTATTCACCAGTGTCAGAGGAATAGTTATTCCTATTTTTGTAAAGTTAATCTCTCCATCTGGGCCTTTGACATCTCTTTCTAATTATCTGAGATGTTGCTCTAAAACTTACACTTTAATATCTCTAGCTTTTCATCTCCATGGACTCTAGCCTTAATTCTGGCTTCAATTTTGCCTCAAGTTTGAAATATCCTCATGACAGCATTCTCCTTTATCTTCTCGTTCTCTTGTTCCTTTCCCTTAGTGGACAAGTTTATAAATTTGTTTACTAGAGCCTTCTTTTTTTCATTCTGGCCACTTTTTCCTTTATTCTTTCAAATCGGATCTCCCTTATAAGTCTCTGTGAAAAATGCCTTTCTAGAAGGGTCCCTTAATGCCCTTATGGCCAAATTGAAATGTTGTGTATTTTCAAGCTTGGTAAGATCTGTGTTGCATTTAATATCATTCTGTAAAAATATTTTGATTCTTTTTCCTCTCTTAGTTCATGACTCTAATGCTTTTTTATATTTTCTTAGTTCTCTAAGCATTCTGTTCTTTCCTTCTCTGACATTTTAACTACTGTCTAGACTGCATAGTAGGGCTACATGCTTTTCTCCTACTACAACTCATTTTGTAATAGATTTAAAAAATAAGTTTATAATATTTTACATTTGAAGACCATTCACATTTAATATATATAGCTGTGCGAACTACTGAAGTGAATCTTTAAACGTCAATTATTTTAGCATCATTTAAAGAGAGGTTGACAATTCGGGGATGCTGAAGAGTTCTAATGAGCCTCACATATTGATTCCCTTGATTCATTTTGACTATATGTTGTTTATTACATCCAAATAAAAAGATGTATAACAGATACACTCTACTGGGGGGAGAACCTGACTATTAAGAGTCAAAATTCCAGTGTATATTAGTGAATTGCTAACATTCTTATTTCCAATAAGTGACGATAGTGCAGAAACTTACAAGAATGTTTGTAGGGATTATAGATTTGTAAACCCCAAAGAATAATGTGACATGTGGAATTATTTTTGGTCTGCCAACTCCAGTGGTTGGCAGGGACAGTTTGAGTGTCTGCTGACATCCATAATGAAAAAATGGGCCATGCTAGCGTTCCACAAGGAGGATAACAAATCAGCCAAAAGGATGAAATCCTAAAGGAAGGACAATCATCTTTTGTCTTAAATACAAATTTTTATGTCAACCAAATGGACTAGAAAATAGAGATTATTAATTCACACTATGACACCCTAATCTTTATATTTAGGAGGCTTTTGGTCAAGTTCTTTCAATCACAGAGTTACCTTCATCTTACTGGTTATACTACCTCAGACATTATAATATTTCTAGAAAAAGGGGAGGTTTTCGTGAAAAGTAGATTTATTCATGTTTGAAATGAAATTAGAGATTAGCACAAGGAGAGCACAGTTCTAAAAATAAATTTTATGAAGACACTCATGATATAGAATCATGTTTGGCATTTGGAAATCTCTATATTGTTTGGATCTCATCTGTATTTGGAAATCATTTAGAATTCCCATTCTTGCAAAAAAAATAGTCTTGCTGACATTATGAGAAGGTATACTGATATTTATTAGAATTCAGTGAGTAAATATGTATTTTTTAAATTAACCATATAAAAATTAATAACCTAAGTGGTGAAAAATATCTGGAATTAAGTACCAGCATCTCCTACTAATCCATGATTAAGTGTGTTTCATAAGAATAATAACAATTTCCTTTTCAATGTCATTTCCCCCCCGCCCAAAGATAAAAAGGCTTATTTAGCCGGTAGAAAAATTAATGCCTACATTACTGTATATGAGGAAGAACTAAAACTAAATTAAAATGACTATTGGCTTCTTTCATAGAAAAGGAATCTATCTTTTTTTAAGATATAATTATATCAGACATGGTTAGTGTATTTGGAACAGTCCCACAACAATGCTTAACAATAGAATTTTAAAATTCTACACTGTTATTTGTTGTTATATATTAGTCAAATTGATGTGCCTATTAATAGTCTCAGACTATGGAAAGGGATTTAAATAGTCATATTCAGAGTCTTACTCCTTAGGAAATACAGGAAGTCAACAGGGTTGTCCTGACCAAGCTATCATTCATCTTCTCTTATCAAGACATTACTTATATCCTCATCAGAATGTGATGGAACATGCCATCCTGAGGAAATTAACTTGATCATGCTTCCTGAAAGAAGGAATAGTTGTCTTTGATTTAACATGTAAATAAAAATTGCAGTCTTGGCTATCTGTAGTTGGGTCCTAGTGGAGGTTTCACACTATAGACCTGCTTTCACAGCAGAGAGGAAGTCTGATTGAGTCGTAATGATGGTCCCAATCTTGTTATTTCAAGAAGGGGCATTGTTTAGAAATAGAAATGTTTAAGAATGGTCTAGTCCAGTGATGGCGAACCTTTTGAGCTTGTCACGTCAGCATTTTGAAAAACCCTAACTTAACTCTGGTGCCATGTCACATATAGAAATTTTTTGATATTTGCAACCATAGTAAAACAAAGACTTATATTTTTGATATTTATTTTATATATTTAAATGCCACTTAATAAAGAAAAATCAACCAAAAAAATGAGTTCGCGTGTCACCTCTGACTCGTGTGTCATAGGTTTGCCATCACTGGTCTAGATAAATTACTAGATGATCAAATTATTACTGATAAGTAAGGAACGTTTATAAATTTAGAGTGAAAGTATCCTTCTGGGAGGACATCTGGGTCTTCTCACAGCATAGACCACTGGCCTGACATGGCCCATGGATTCTCTCAATATTCAGATGGAGACAGTGAAGAAATGCAGCCACTGTCTGAGCAGCTCATGCTCAGACAGAGTTAGTGATACAAACCCACTCTGCATTTTGTTTATTTACACTTGACCCCGGACTTTCACTAAATTAGAGTGTTTTATACGGGGAAAAGCTGCCTTAATCCCTAAGGAAGCATTCCAAACAAATTTGCATTTACATTATCACTGCTTACAATGAATTGATCCCTTTTTTCTCTAAGATAAAGGTTATATGATTTTAAATTCCTTAAAGTGCAAACAAATAACAAGGCTCAACACCTCATGAATCTTAAAAGTAAATTTTCAATTTCAAGTTTCCATTTCAAACCTCCTATATTAGAATAATACAAGGGATTATTT